GGTGGCGCGCGACACCGTTGTCCTTGCTGACTTGGCGCTCGAGGCAGCGATTGCAGAGCTGGCCTCTACAACCTGTGCCGTGTCGTACAGCACCGACATGTGGACAGGCCCGAACGGCAAGGCCTACATGGTGCTGACAGGTCACTTCGTGTCAGTGCAGTGGGAGTTGCGCCAGGTGATTCTTGCTTTCGTCGAGATGCCTGGCAGGCATGGGGGGAAGGAAATTGCTAAGGCAGTGGAGAAGGTGGTGGTGCAGTGGAAGTTGCAGACGCGTTGCCTCGGTCTCACGACCGACAATGCGTCTGCAAACGTAGTTGCTCTTCGGCACCTGGCGGAGGAGGGTGAATTCTCGGGGTACTTCAGCGAGAAGGCGCACTACAGGTCCGTCTTGTAGCTGGATTCCAAGTTCCTAAACCTGGTCCCTTTTGCTTCTGTCCGCACCATAACACCCTTGTAACCTCGTTTGTCGGTTTGAAACCCTAAACCCCTCCGATCCAACGCAGGTGCCTGTCGCACATTGTGAACCTGGCAGTGCAGTCTGGGCTGGGTGTGGAGTCGATGACGGTGCCCCAGAAGAAGGTGCGGGAGATTACTACGTGGGTGGGCATGTCGCCCCAGCGAGGAGCCGCCTTCATTGCGCTGCAGGTTCGGCATGGAGTGCTGCCCAATGGGCCGCACAAGCTCGTTCAGGACAGTCCTACGCGGTGGGGGTCCACACACGAGATGGTTAAGCGCTTCTTGCTGCTGAGGCCCTTCATCGACATGCACTTTGCCCGCGAGCAGGTACGGCTCCATTCGTATCCATTGCAATCTGTGTTGATTGGACGCGTAAGAGCTGTTGCTTTGAAGATTGTCAGAATCCACTACGTTCCAACCGTTCCCCAAGCCTAAGCACATGTACTCAATGTCATCCAACCCAATCTTGCGCCCTCACCTAATCAACAGGGAACCACGAAGGAAGAGAAGGAGAAGTGGCGAGGTTTGCGTGTGACCGATGTCGAGTGGGAGGCCTTGGGGGCTTTGGAGGGGTTTCTCCGTCCCTTTGCCAGAGTCTCCACGGCCGCCGAGGGGTCGACCTACCCCACTGTGTCGATGGTGCTGCCTTACTTCTACGCCCTCATCGACAGCCTGGAGAAGAAGCTGCACACAGGGACGCATGAACTAGTTCGTCCACTCATGTCTGCCGCGCTGGGGCACCTGAGGCAGTACGAGTTTGCCATCGGGGACGAGTGACATGAGGGGGAGTCATGTCACTTGACTGGGGTGGTGGTGATGAAAACCCTAATCACTGCCGCATCCGCCTGCTCCCAGAGACTGAAGTCCGTCTCATACTTGGTGGTTTTAGCGTCGAAAGCAAGCTTGGCTGTGGCAGTGGCGCCTTCGCCGAGAGGATCGGGAGGGAGAGGCATCTTCCCCTTGCCGCGATTGAGGAGGATGTCCTTGAGGCAAATCCCCTTGAGCTCCGAGCTAAGGAGGTGCTTCTCCACTCCATAGCACCACTCCCCGAAATTGGTGCTCGTGCCGTTGGGAGCGAGGTTAAGGATGATGAGGTTTCCGACGAGAGTGGAAGTTGAAGTTGCCATTTCGCGCGGAGCGCAGCGCTAAAGTCTCCGATACATAGCGGAGCGAAGCGGAGCGGAGTTCGGGTGATTTTGGAAATTGAGGAAGTTCGAAACGCGATTTTGGCAATAGAATGCCCGTACTATACCCTGATATACTGCTTCGCCAATGCCCCCTGTTCTGCTTCGCTGCTGCCCCTGTTCCGCTTCTCTGCTGTGCCGCTGACCTGTTCTGCTGCGCCGCTGACCTGTTCTGCTGCGCCGCTGGACCTGTTCTGCTGCGCCGCTGAACCTGTTCTGCTGCGCCGCTGAACCTGTTCCGCTGCGCCGCTGAACCTATTCTGCTGCGCCGCTGAACCTGTTCCGCTGCGCCGCTGAACCTGTTCCGCTGCGCCGCTGAAAACCTGTTCCGCTGCGCCGCTGGACTTGTTCCGCTGCGCCGCTGAAAACCTGTTCCGCTGCGCCGCTGGACCTGTTCCGCTGCGCCGCTGAAAACCTGTTCGAAGTTAATAAGATGCGAAAATTGTCACGGAGATATAAAAACCAGAAGCTTACGATGAAGGAAGTCGAAAGCTGAGAATGTCGCCGTTGAAAAACGAGATGCGCGATGAAGGAAGCCGAATGCGCGCTTGACCGGAGCGACGATGTGAAGTTTCTGAAAAACGCTAAGCGTAGGAGCCGGGAACCGAAATAGGCATAGCCTAAAAGGAGAGAACCATCGGGATGCCAAGGATCGGATTCCGCGTGAGCGGAATTTACTAGCTCGATACCATGATAGAATTGGAACTGAACTGATTGCTTGATAAGGAAGGCACTAGGCCTTAAGTACAAACAGGGTTGGGTTGAGCAAAACTAGGGAAAGGATGGGATGGGAATCCTAGCAAATCTCCAATTGGTGAGTTGGCAGATTTGCAGGATTACGAGGGAATCCCAACCAGATAGGGTTGGGATTACAAATCTACACCCAACCTACAAAGTAACCTAACCGATATAGAATATAGTACAAAGTGTTGACTGACTATTTCTAACAGTTGTGTGTTGGCCCCGTCCTCGCTTGGGCGGAGCCGACTTCGTGGTCGGGTGTGCGGGAGGTGCAACCGACTTGCAGCAGTGGGCGACGCCGACTTGGGCGAGCGGGTCGACGGTTTTGGTCGACCTGCACGGGGCCACTGCGAAGCCACCGACTTTGGGACCTTAGTTGGAGTATACGCTCGAATCTTTTTGCGTTTGGAGTTTATACGCGCTAAAAAAACGACCGCTGCGTTTTTGGTGTGGAAACGCAGAAAAACGCTCGGGCAGCCCGGAAAAAAAATCATCAGAAGTTGGGTTTGAGCTAGCGACATGGCGAACTGAAAATTAGGGCATCGCATATTCGGGATCTGAAAAAAAAAAATCAGAAATTGAATTTCGAAGCAGATCCACAACAACCCCTTCTGTATACCATTGCGCAACCCACTCCACCCCATTCAATCCGAATTCCTTCCACTCAATGTCGAGTGGAGGAGTTGGATTCAACCAGACTCATCTCTCCTAGCAGAAATGCGGCTCTAATTCTCCATTCGATGTTCATCGTTCGGATTTTTTTACCTCGTTTTTAGCTACGTCGTTCGTATCGACGATTATGACTAGACTGCGGGCACCAACTTCGTGCTTTGCACCTCGCCCATCCCCCCCTCTTAACCTAGCAAGCTGCCCGGCGAAAATTTGTATGTGCCCGGGCCTGCGTTTTCACTGCGTACCGGACCCCTCCCAAGAAGCGTTCGGCGTTTATACGCTAGCGGATAAACGCTAGCATATGAAACGCGAAACGCGTATACTCCAACTAAGTTTGGGACGCGGGCGGCCGACTTCAGCCCGGTGGTCGACGAAGGGAGACGTCGACTTGAAAGGGGGGGCGCCGACTGGGGAGGGCGCCGACTTTGGAGGGAGGCCGACTTGGCGAAGTCGGCCTGAGAGGAAGCCGACTTCATGGCGTCGAACCCGAGGAGGGCGTCGACTTTGCGACGCCGACCAGGGAGTGGCCGACTAAGTGAAGTCGGCTAGTGGTCGTTGACTTGGGTGGTCAACGAACGCGTACAGCTTTCGGTCGATTTTTACCGAGCAAGTCAACGCCGACCAGGTGGTTTCCAGGTCGACCAAGTTACCCGGGCGACGGGGTTCTGCGGAGGTGCACAACAGTCGCTCGGGTGGTTCTGGCGAAACCGACCTCGGAGGTGGTATCCTGAGGTCGACGTGGCTGATCAGGCGCAGTCAAGAGCACGTGAACGACTTGGCGTCTGCGCTGTGCACGTGACGGGGCACAGCACGCCAACCAGTTGCGAACACCTGCGAAGCGGGTGCGCTGCTGTCATGCGGGTGCAGCGCTGTGCAGCCGCCTTGCTGCAGCGTTGGCACGCCGTCGACTTGAAACGTTGTTAGGCCGCCACTTTGCACTGCTGGAGCGCGGTCGACCGTGCTGTGCTGGCACTCGACCTGCTTGCATGCTAGCTTCTGATGTAGTCATTGTTCCTTTGCCTTTGTCAACCATTGTTCTGAACTTTCTCTAGTGAAACTCTTGCCGTTTTGCCCCGTGAACCCGCAAGCGCCAGAGAACGCAAGGAACGCTGCGATCACTCTCACAACCGTGTCTTCCCCGTAGTCTAGCTCCCGTTGTAGTAGTTATCTTTGCACCTTCAACCTCAACTTCCCCGCCTCCTGGGTCACGACTGTTGTGCTCCTCTACAACATCGCCGCTTTTGATCCTGTGAGTGATGCTACAGTTGACCCTGTGAGTAGCTCTCTCATCGAGGTGCCGTTGCTCGCAATGGTCGCCTCCTTCAGCCTCAACTTCCCGGCCTCAACCCAGGAGGCTGGGTTGTGCTTCTCTACAACATCGCCGCTTTCGATCCTGTGAGTGATGCTGCCTCTGACTCTGTGAGTGTCTTACAACTCTCAACATTAGATGGAGGGTGGACTGGACTCTCAACTCAAAGGTTTCGGTCAAGACCGTCGTGTTGCTTCTCTACAACATCGCCGCTTTCGATCCCGTGAGTACTGCTGCCTCTGATCTGACCCTGTGAGCGGTTCTCAACTCTCAACATTATCTAGAGGGTGGTCTCTCCAAGGTTTGGGTCAAGACCGTCGTGCTGCTGTACAACATCGCTGCTTTCGATCCCGTGAGTGGCGCTGACCATTTTGGTGGACTTGAGAAGTATGTTTTAATTGAATTGTGGTTCAGGTCAAGAATCAAGTTGTGCACAGCTTTTGAGTCGACTCAAAAATCGCCTCATCACACACAGCTTTATGTTTCTTACAAAAACCAAGTCATGGAATTTGTAAGGGCTTGCCTCGGCAGCAGAACATTTGATTGATATGCCAAAATAGAAAGCATACATGACGCGCACACTCTCCTCACTTCTTCTCTCCTCACTTCTTCCTCCCCCTTTCCTCTCCCCCCGGCAGGACATCATCAGGCCAGAATGTGCCTTCTCCCTGCAGTTCACGGGAAAATTCTACGCCACCATTCTTTTGACTTCTCATATACCCTCTGCCTCCCCTCTTTCCCCCCCTTTTCCCCCCTCCAACAGGACATCATCAGGCCAGAGTGCGCCTTCTCACTGCAGTTCATGGGAAAATTCCATGCCACCATTCGAGAGACGTCCCAAGAACCCTCTTCCCTTCCCCCCCCACTCCTCCCCCCACCCGCCCTGGCAGGACATCATCGGTCCAGAATGTGCCTTCTCCATGCAGTTCACGGGCAAATTCTACGCCACCCTTCTCATCCCCGTTTTAGGCCTCCTCGTTTACGCACTCGTGTTTGCGCACCACCGCTGGCTGGGCGGCTCTTTCTTCGTGCGCGTGCACTCGTGGCAGCGCAAGGAGCGGCAGCGGCAGCGCCTGGCACTGCAGCGCTCGGTAACAAAGCGGCGGGCTTATAACGAGTACGAGAACTCGATCGTGCATGCGTCGCTAAAGTGGCTGGATATCTGCTATGTATCCGTGATGGTCAAAGTGCTTCAAGTCTTTAAGTCCCAGGAGATCGGCACATCAACGGTTATGGCAGCAGCGCCGCAGATCCTGTGGCTGTCATCAGCGCACGTGGGCATGCTGGTAACCGCCGTGCTGGTTACGGTGGTGTACCTGGTGGGGCTGCCGCTGCTGTTCGCTGGCGTGTTGGTGGATGCTCACACGTGTGACGTGCTCTCCTCTACGCTCTTCAAGCAGCGCTTTGGCTGGCTCACCGAACGCTTCCGACCTAAGTTCTGGTGGTGAGTGCAGTGGTGGTGGTTGGTAGCGAGCGGGTATCTGAAATACTGGTTGCCTTTCAGAAGCTAATAGCAACCGGTAGCCAATAGCAATAGTAGTGCTGCCTTTTGGTCACCTGCTGTGCTGTTCGCTGGTGTTCTGGTGGACGCTCACACGTGTGACGTGCTCTCTTCTACGCTCTTCAAGCAGTGCTTTGGCTGGCTCACCGAACGATTTCGGCCCAAGTTCTGGTGGTGAGTAGTCTATTTTTGAGGCGCCTCAAAAATACGATTTCGGCCCAAGTTCTAGTGGTGAGTTGAGCGGAGCGATGGTGGGTATTAGGAATGATGATTGCCTTTGGTAGCTGGTAGCAGTGGTAGGAAGGTCAATTGTCATTGGACGACTTACAAATTGGGAGCAGGCCCAGGGCTGGCTGGTGGACTTGAGGCATGGTGCATGGCTGGCACGACTTTCGATAGCAAGCAAGCCAGGGCTGGTATTTGTGAATTCTCAAAAACTTCTTTCGAGGCGCCTCAAGAATTCTCAGAATCCAACTACGAAAGCGAGCAGTTAGGGCTGGGAATGTAAGCTTGTAACGTGTTGCTGGTGTATCTGGTGGGGCGGCCTGTGCTGGTCGCTGCTGTGCTGGTGCTGCTGCATGCTTGTTTCCTGATTTTACATAACCTCATACTGCTTCTTTATCTCCTTACCTCTTCTCTCTGCTGCTGCAGGTGGCACTTGATGAGCATAGGCATGAGAGTGCTGCATGGCTGTATCCTTCTGTATCCTCCTCAATCCAACCCCGGACTGCCTTTCACTTGCTTTCTCTCCTGCTCCCTCCGTTCTGCTGCTGCAGGTGGCACCTAACGAACATAGGCATGAGGGTGCTGCATGGGTGTATCCTCGTGTTCCTGCAGCAAGAAACTGAGTCGCAGGCAAGTGAATGATAGCACACCCCTAGTCTCACTCTGCTTGGAACCCAAACATGCTGCGTCCTTCTGTCCCATGCTGCACCGGTGCATCCTTATGTACCTCTTGATGACGCTAGAAGACCATTCTTCCTCCCCTCCTCCCTGTTGGGTGCAAATATTAATATTTGCACGTCAACCAGCCGCCTGCATATCATTTCGCATCACACGAACGGTTCACGCACATTCATTTTCACACTTCACTTCATTCGCATTCATGGCGAGTTCATATTCACTCATGAAAGCTCACAACGAAGCATCGTGAAATACCATGAGTGTTCATTCAGTGTTCATGGCGAGCAAGCATTATGAGAATTCGTGAATATTTCACGAGTCCCCACAAAGCGAGACTCATGGTGAGTCGAAAGTGTTCACGAGGGGTCAATGCTGACCCCTCGAATATTTTCGCGAGGTCAAGGTCAACCGAGCGCGAAAATCTGGACCACACGTGGGATGCCAAATTTCGTGCGCGGGCCTCGCACTGTTGCGAGCATGGCAGGGCTCACGATCGCAACAGACAGGGCGAATGATCGTCCTGCCCACGCGCAGTACTGCGCATGTCAGTGCCCAGCAGTACTGCACGACCGAAATATCGGTCGTGGTCGAGGGGTGCTCGGTGTTCACTCGGCGTACAAGCAACTTCGCCCGAAATGTCGCACGCGTAATGAGACATTTTCGATACAGGAGAAAATGGTGAAAACTCGTTTTGTAACTGTAAGGACTCATGAAAAACGGTGAAAACCCGCTTTGTAACTGTAAGGCCTCATGAAAAACGGTATTTGTTCACGAGTATTCATGAATGTTCACGAAGGGATTGAGCAGGGGAGTTTGGCAGGATTGCAGCTTGAATACAATTATTTCAACGAGGCAAATCGAGCCAAGTCCAAGAACAGTTTTGGGGCATGTGACATTTTTTTTTGTTTCGTCCGGACGGACAACCGTCCTGACGCGTTTGTGGTTACCAAAGTCGTTAAAGCTTGTAAACTAGCTCTTGAAGAATTGAACGATGTCTTGTGTGTAGCATTGCAATGCAACCGTACGACGTCGTAAGCGTCGCGGAACGACCATTCGACGTCGCCAGATTCGCAAGCGTCCGGCCATACGTCGCACGTACATCAGGCCTGTCGAAGTCCCTGGGAGCAAAACTTTGAGTCCTGAGCTGTTCGAATTCTTGCCCTGATTTTCACGGGCGTAGGCCAAATCAAAACTTGAAATCAGGGCTTCCTAGGAAAGTGTACTTTGGCCCTAATGTAACACAGGAGGATTTTTACCTCTTGCTTAGCCGGAAAAGGTACACACAAACTACTCATCTACACGCCTACAGCCTCTACATCGTCCGCAAAAACACCGTCGGCAAAAATATCGGGGAGTGGGGATTCCGATTGGGGGGGGAGGGGATGACGGCGGGAATTCGGGTGGGGGGGGGGTCCTTCAAAACAGAAACCAAAACTTTGATTCAGGGGAAGGCCCAAACGAGGCCCTTAACTGTCACGGGTGCCATGCCTATCTAACACTTTATATGGTCGAGCTGCTTCAACAGCCCTGACGTACGTCCGGACGCGTAGTGCTTTTGAAAATTTCACACGCCCTTATAACCGTTTTTCAAGGACAGCAAGACGAAGACCTGGACGACAGTTAAATAACCGTTTTGTGTGCTTTCCTTGTGTGCCTAGGAGTTTAGGGTGCATGTTTCTACTTGCTTGAACAACAATGCTATTATGTTTTCATCTTGGAATTCTACTACTACGTATTGACGAGAGTAGAAACGCTTACATGGTGCTGCCGAAACGCTGCTCGACCAGATTCCTCATCCTACAAGCAAGCTGAGCATAACTACTCCCTTATATGTTTCTAGGTGATAAAAGTGTAGTTTTGAGACGTCTCAAAACTACACTTTTATCAAGCTGAGCATGACTACTCCCTTATATGTTTCTAGGTCCTTGGCTGGGAGGTGACAAGCTGTCACCCTCGGAGGGTCATGAGGGAAGTTAAGTGTTGCTAAGATTAAGCTTGTAGTGAAGTTCTAAACACTTCCGCATAGGCTATATGAGTCAACACTCCCCTCCTTCCCCACCAGGTCATCATAATTCTTCTAATCCAAGCCCTCCGCATAGCCACGCACTACAAGACTGCCCCTTTCGCCTTGCTCCTCCTTTCCCTTCCCCTTTCCCTCCAGTTCCTCTTCTCCTCCCCCCCTCCTCCCCTCCCGCACCCCTCCCCTTCAGGTGATCATAATTCTGCTAATCCAAGCCCTCCGCATCGCCACGCACTACAAGACAGTTCCGCTCGCCTCGCTCTCCCTCGAGTACCTGCAAGCCTTCCTCACTCTCGGCCAGTTCTTCTTCACCCTCTCCCTCCTCTCCCACAACCCTCCCTCTCCATCTCCCTCTTCCCCTCAATCCATGTCTTAAGGCCCCTTCAAACACGTTTTTTCCTCCTTTCCCCTGTCTCCCTTCCCCTTCCCTCTTCCCCTCCTCCCCTCCTTCCCCCCTCCCCCCCCCCTCCTTCCCCTTCAGGTCATTATAATCCTGCTAATCCAGGCCCTCCGCATAGCCACGCACTACAAGACCGCACCGCTCGAATTTTCCCTGACCACATTCCCTCTTCCCAAAACAGATTGATGAAGTTAGAAATGCATTCTTCCTCCCCTCCTTCCCCCCCTCTCCCCTCCCCCCTCCCCTCCTTCCTGCTCCCGCCCCCCTCCCCCACAGGTCATCACAATTCTGCTAATCCAGGCCCTCTGCATAGCCACACACTACAAGACCGCCCCTCTCACCCCTCTTCTCATCCCACATCCCCTCTTGCTCTCTTTCCTCCGCTGCCCCCCTCCCCACAGGTGATAATAATTCTGCTAATCCAAGCCCTCCGCATAGCCACGCACTACAAGACCACCCCTCTCGCATCCCTCTCCCTCGAGTATCTCCAGGCTTTCCTCACGCTCGGCCAGTTCTTCTTCACCCTCTCCCTCCTCTCCTTCAACTACCTCTCCCTCTCCCTTTTCTCCCAAATCCTCTTCGGCTTCTCCGCGGCCTTCATCCTCATCCCCGCTACAACGCTCCTCGTTTACGACGCAATAAACAACCATTTGGAGCTCGCGAACGCGCGCATGCTACAGCGCGTGTGGCGCGCGGAACGCAAGCGACAAAAAGCCCGCTTCGATAAAATGGACCCATATGATTTAGTCCCAGCGCAAGAGATCTGCTCCTGGTTCCGACCACACATCATCTTCGCGACCCTCCTTTCCAAACGCACCGAGGAACGCACGTTGCTGCTCCGAGTTCGGGACCGGTTCGAGACGTGCCGATTGGTCGGCTTGGCGCCCATGGATTGGCTGAATCATTTGAAGAAGCCGCAGCTTTATGCGGTGCTGGCGCAGGCGCTGCTGGGAGCGAGCACGGGGCATGTGACTGTAGCGAGGGTGCCTAAAGACGGGTGGTTCTGTAGGGAGCATGGCGTGTGGCATGCGGCTGGGGAGGATTGTGAGGGAAGGGAGGGGTTTGGAGGTGTTTCGGGTGGTGGAGGGGGTGGTTCGGGGAGTGGTGAGGGGTTGGGAGGTGTGGAGAGGGAGGGGGGAGAGGGAAGTGTTGGGAGGGGTGGGTTGGGTCCTCGGGCGAGAGAAGGGATGGGGAACGGTGGGGATGGGGTTGAGAGTGGTGGGGAGGACAGGCAAAACGGTCAGCTCTCCGGATCAAGTGGGCAACAGAGAGAAGATTCTTCAGGTGAATCTCAGGTGAATGGTCAGGTGGACACGCAGCAGCCGCTGCTGCAGCAGACTGGAAGGAACACTTGGCATGAGCTGGATGAGGCTGACGTGTGGCCACCTCAGCTGGAGAGCCATGTCAGCTGGGCGTCTGCCAGCGTGGCTGCCGCTGACGTGGACACCCTTGGTGCGTCAGCAGGACGGGGGGGAAGAGGGAGAGGCCTCGGAACAGGATGGGATGGAATGGGAGGAGCGGGAGGGGGAGTGGGAGGAAGAGCGGGAGGTGGAGGGGTGTGGGGAGTGAGAGGAGCAGGGTGGGAAGGTTTGGGAGATACTGACACAGCGAGTGTTGGGAGTGACAGCAGCAGTGAGACTGGCAGCACGCACGGCCGCGGCGGAGGGGAGAACCTCAGAAGCATGGGTGGTGGAGGTGGGGCTATGGGTGGCGTTGGGGGCGCTGATACATTTGCTGCTGCCGCTAGTAGGGCGGGGCTGGGTCTCCGTGTTGGACTTGTGGCAGCAGCAGGCGCAGGGGGAGTGGGGGGAGTGGGTGCAACAGGAGGGCCGGTGATGCGAAGGACGCCGTCGATTCGAGTGCAGAACCTGGTGTCGTGGGAAGAGACCCCCCATGAAGGCCTGCCGGAGCACGGGGCTGGGGGTGCTGCAGTGATGGGAGATGGAGCAGCGGCAGCGGGTGGGGCAGGGGAAGAGGCGGTGGAAGGGGCTGGGGCAGCAGCAGCTGTGGGGGGAGGGGCAGGGACGGAGGCAGGAGCAGGTGGAGGAGGAGAGAACGGAGGAGGAGGCGGAGGGGGAGGGGGTGGGGTGAACCCAGAGGCTGCTGGAAGGAGGCAGAGGATGGGAGGGTGGTGGGGAAGGGGAGCGCGAGTGAGTGAGAGAGGAGGAGGTACGGGTGCTGGTGCAGGTGCGGGGGAGGCAGGAACTGGAATGGGGGAAGCCGGGCAGCAGCAGCAGCAGCAGCAGCAGCAGCAGCAGCAGCAGCAGCAGCCCCCACAACAGCAGCAATACCAGCAGCAGCCGGAGCAGAGGGAGCGAGCAGGTGGCGGTGGGGAGGAGTGTGTGGAAGCGCGGATGAACATGGGCGCGCTGAGCCTGGCGTTTCAGAAGCACCTGGCGCTGCTGGTGCGGGCTGAGAGGACCCGCAGCAGCGAGGCCCTGCGCCTGCTCGTATGCTCCGAGGCCGTGCCCTCCATCCTGAGCTGGCTCACCAGCGCTGAGAGGTGCGTCAAACCTTACTAGGGCTAGCACATGCAGGTAAGCAGTGGGCTAGATTGAAGCACCTGGCGCTGCTGGTGCGCGCTGAGAGCAGCCGCAGCAGTGAGACTCTTCGCCTGCTTGTGTGCTCTGAGGCTGTGCCATCCATCCTTAGCTGGCTCACCAGCGCTGAGAGGTGCGTCCCTGCCATAAACCTTGAGAGCAAGGGATGGCATGTGCCGTGCTTCCAGCTCATGTGCTCGGAGGCCACTTGATTCCCCTTCTCGTGCGATGAGACAATCTTTGAGTCGACTCAGAATTTGTCTTCCTCTGAGTCATCTCAAAACTCAAAATTCGTCTTCCTTTGAGTCGTCTCAAAACCCAAACCCACAAGGGAGGATCAGATGCTGTTGAGGCAGCTGTTGATGGCAGTGAGAGTGATGGCCACTTCTTTTATCATGTGTACTGTCTTCATGCTGCAACTCACTAACTCCCACCTTCCGCCCCCTTCCCTCCTTCAGCACAAGGGAGGATCAGATGCTGCTGCGGCAGCTGCTAATGGCCGTGCGACTGGCGGCAAGTGAGGAGGCAGGGGGGCTGGACTGGTGGAGCGGAGTCAAGTGCTTCTACTCCAAACGAGTCACCTTCAAACGGGACAAAGCAGCCCTTGTGGCTTCGGCTCCCACTCCCACCCCCGCACCTACGTATGTTCTCTTCGCTGGTTGCATGCATGCACGCACCACACATGCACGCACCACACATGCACGCACCACACATGCACGCACCACACATGCACGCACCACACCACACATGCACGCACCACACCACACATGCACGCACCACACCACACATGCACGCACCACACCACACATGCACGCACCACACCACACATGCACGCACCACACCACACATGCACGCACCACACCACACATGCACGCACCACACCACACATGCACGCACCACACCACACATGCATGCACCACACCACACATGCATGCACCACACCACACATGCACGCACCACACCACACATGCATGCACCACACCACACATGCACGCACCACACATGCACGCACCACACCACACATGCACGCACCACACATGCACGCACCACACCACACATGCACGCACCACACCACACATGCACGCACCACACCACACATGCACGCACCACACCACACATGCACGCACCACACCACACATGCACGCACCACACCACACATGCACGCACCACACCACACATGCATGCACCACACCACACATGCATGCACCACACCACACATGCACGCACCACACCACACATGCATGCACCACACCACACATGCACGCACCACACATGCACGCACCACACCACACATGCACGCACCACACATGCACGCACCACACCACACATGCACGCACCACACCACACCACACATGCACGCACCACACCACACCACACATGCATGCACCACACCACACATGCACGCACCACACCACACATGCACGCACCACACCACACATGCATGCACCACACCACACATGCATGCACCACACCACACATGCACGCACCACACCACACATGCACGCACCACACCACACATGCACGCACCACACCACACATGCATGCACCACACCACACATGCATGCACCACACCACACATGCACGCACCACACCACACATGCACGCACCACACCACACATGCACGCACCACACCACACATGCATGCACCACACCACACATGCATGCACCACACCACACATGCACGAACCACACCACACATGCACGCACCACACCACACCACACCTATGTGGAGAAAGACGCGTCCAGACGCTGGACGCTAGTTTAGGGCCCCCGAGACGCAGCAAAAGACGCAGGTCCGGGCAGCCAAAAAAAAACCCCCGGGCAGCCAAAAAAAAAGTTATAGGGCAGAGGGAAGAGGGGGTAAGAGGGGGGGGGGGGGGGGGGGGAACACACTTTCATAGCAAAATTTCTCCTCAACAACAAAATTTCAGCCACAACAATAGAACATGAAGGTGAGCCCCAAATTTCCATAATCACAATTAGTCCAAGGGTTGTTTAGCATGCATGCATACTACCACTAACTAACATGCATCACTCATCCTCCTCGCTCTCCATCCCCTTCTCCTCCTCCTTCTCCAAATCCTCCTGCTCCTTGTACTCGTCGAAGGTGAGGTCATCCTCGTCCACCTCCACCTCTCCATCCTCCTCAAGCTTGTACCCCTCGGGAAGGGGTCGGGGGGGAATGTTCCCCTCCACTATTCCCGCCTTCCTGACTTCCCCACTCGGCCCCGCACCCGCCGCACCCTTGTGGTGGTTGTGCACAACGTTCCAGTTGTGCGCAACGAACACAAGGTCGCGAACACAAGGAGCTAGCCATAACGGTGGTGCGCGGAAAGGAGCTAAAACCACTAGGGTTTTTGAAAGAGAATTGGGTTGTGAGAAAAGGGAGCACAAATGAGAGGTTTCATGAACTAAATGGGCTTTGTGGGGGTGGTGGACCACAAAGGTTGGGTTTCCTAGTTGCGGAGTGGTGGAGAGGGGTTGGATTTCCAAATCAATTTTGCAAAAAAGGGAGGGGGTTAGGGGTGAATTAGATGGCTGGTTTTGGGGGTCGAATTTGCTTGGGGGGTGTCGAATTTCGGCGAAATTGACATTCGCGACGAAATCGCGAATGTCAATTTCGCGATCGCGAAAAAAAAAAAAATCTCGGTCTGCCCGAAAAATTTTCCAGGGTGCGTCCTGCGTCCGGACGCGCGTCCTGCGTCTTTGCGTCCGGACGCAGGACGCAGGGCTGCCCCAGCGTCTTTCTCCACATAGCACCACACATGCACGCACCACACCACACCACACATGCATGCACCACACCACACATGGATGTCACATGATCCCATATTACATTCTTACCCTTCACATCAGGCAGGGTAATGTGTCGTCTCACCTCCAATTTTCTCCTCCTGCCTTCCCCACCATCTCCCTTCAGCACCATTGAACTCGCCCCTGTTACCACCTAGCAGCGAGTCTTCAGGTGCCTCAAGACCGAGCGCTCCTGTGACGGCATCTAGCAGCAAGCCTTCTCAGCACCACTGCAAATCCTCGCAGCACCACTGCAAATCCTCGCAGCACCACTTCAAGAGCAACAAGTCCTTCAGACGCCTCAAAGACCGAGCGCTCCTGTGACGGCATCTAGCAGGAAGGAACCCTTCTCAGCACCAATTTGAATCAAGCGAACGAGGAATGGATGGTAGCAGCAGCAGCCTCAAAAGACCCTCAAAAGACCGAGCGCTCCAATGAAAGCACCTAGGAACGGCCCCTCAAGCTCAACGCCTGGCTCTGCAGAAGGAGACTCTTGCTGCCTGCCCTGTGGAATGCAGCACAAGTCACAGAGCATTTGAGCTGCTTGATTGGCCATGGCGAAGTTTGACAGCTGTAACCCGTCAATTTGTTACGGTGTTGCTACCGGCCAGTAGCTTATTGGTGGTACAGCTCTTAGCATTTGTGTGCATCCTGGACCACTTGTCGTCAGGGCTGTTGCTGCAAATCACCTTGCTGGTACTGTAGACAATTGTTTTGTGGTGCACGCAATTGTGGGATCCTTTGTGCAGTTACTGATAAAGCAGCTGCTCTTGTGGGGTATGAAAGAATTAACAGAACAAGCACTGAGATGCTTGGCCACAATAGAAATACAAAAGAGAATGACAAGATCGAAGCTACATTTCTTCTCAGACGTATATAATATTCATCCAAAGAACGATTTCTTGCTGTTCTCTTCCAAGCGCTTATCCCTCTGTCAAAACCCCATGCAAAACACAGGGAAGAAAAAAATAAAGAACGTCAGAAACAGGACATGCACAAAAGCCATGTGCCCTCCCATGCCCTATGTACCATGCCCTTTGTTCCATGTCTCATGCAACCTGTCTCATCCATGTATTGTGTATTCCGCCCCTTGCATGCACCATGCCCTATATACCGTACCATGCCTATGCATCAGCAAGACACGCAGTAAAGGTAAGACACAGGAAGATACAGCAGAAAGTCCAAACAGAAACATCCTTCCCGCCTTTTTTTATTGAAAGTAAGCTCTGCTTCGGAGAGCAATGTGGCTGATACGAGGAAGGAAATATCCCAAATACTTGGGGAAAACTGTAAGTACCTCACATACCACTCTGGCCCCATCCCACATCCCCCTCCGTCCCTCGTGCTCACATCTTGTTTCCGGCACTCCTTATATGCATCAAATTTGTCCTCGCACTTGCTCTTGTCGTAGCCATTCTTATCCAAACCTGGACAAAAAAACAAATCAGGGATAAATTAAACAAGCTGTGACAGATGACGTTTCGTACACTGCATACAGGTATAGCATCACATGCCATTGATTACTGGGCCAAATGGGCCAAAACGGGTGTTATTCAGAGGTGCAGCTGTGCGTTTCAACCTTTTTGTGCAGGTCCGCAGACGTTACAACTTACAACGAGCGCACGGTGCTTTGCAGGTAAGTGCTAGCAACGCAATCGAGCAGAAAAGAAAAATGGGTAGTTAAGAGCCACCTCGCTTTCCCTTACTTGACAACCAACCAACTCATCCACAAACCCTGGTAAAGGGAATGAAGAATGGAAACTTCTGGAGCGTTCCAGAAATCTATTCACGAGTGAGACGTCAGATTCGTGCCTGTTCGATCTGGTACGCGTTAAGTATACGTTCAGGTGTAGGGTGAAGCTAGTGAGTGAGTGGTAACTATAATCTCTAGCGCGCCGAGCGGCGCAAAAAGCGGGCGTACATTTTAAAGAGTCCGCGTAGTGGGCGGCGCACATGTGATCGGACATGCGACCCGTTCGCCGCGCCGCCTCTGCCTCGCGTGCAGCGATGGCCGACTGTTCCGTGGAACCCGGCGCCGAATCCGCCATCGCTTGGCGATTCAGAGCACACGTTACTAAAGTGATCCGCGCTTTCCAAAAGAACGTCCCTTTCGAGACGTCTCAACGTTGCTCCCGAAAACGGCCCCCGCTCCCTAAGATTTGACGTGAAACGATACAGTTCAGGCTACGATAACAACGCGTTACGCTTTCGTGAAAGCTTCTTCTCAGTTTTGCTCTAACTTCCTGCGCCTGGTCATGCGTTTGGAGAAGTTCTGTGCTCGATACAAATCGTCGGCTACCGGTTTTGGTTTGGCTTGGAACGTGACCATTGACCAACCAGAAGGCGGCTGTGCTGTCAATGGCAGCAGCTGGCGGAAATTGAGCACAAAGGAGCCTGAAAATGCGAGCAACGCAAACGGTAAGACTTGTCCTAAACAGAGACAGCGAGGAGGGGAGAGAGGTAGCAGCAGCCTTGGCATTGTCGAAGCCGTGCGACGAATCCGCGACGCTCGTTAATTTCGTGATTGCATGCGAAACTCAACAACCGAGTCGATTCCGAAGCTGATTAGGTTCGGGAGTCCGCTCTGCCGAAGAGTATTTTGTAAGTACGTATTGCGCAATTAGCTGGATGCTCGTGTCAAAACGTTTGTAACCAGGTAAATTGGTCGTCTCGTTTGGTTGAACTAGTATGATCCAAACCTCTTCCCCGATTTTATGCATTCTCTTTTCAGTTCATTTTGCTGTGTCCTGAACTCGCAAGTCCTAACTAGTAGTCCCTGACCAACTCACTATATGCTCTAGTTTTAGGTATATTTCTCGTCATACGACCCGATCGCTCCTGAGAAACCCCCACCGCCTCTCGCACGACCCGATCGCTCGTTTTCATTGACCGTCGCTGATGGCCCCGCTGGCTCACTCTCTGTGCACGTAGCGTTGGAGGGTCGGAACGCAATTGCATTGCCACTTTATTTTATACTAGGATCCCTACCAAGGTCTGCTGTCACGGTATACAAGTTATTTTCGAGCGAGACATTTGAAATTCCACGTTACAGAGTAAGTGCTGATTACCTATAGGCGCCATCGTTTCTTTCCGAAAGAGAATTTCCCCGTGCCGTCGAATCCCACGCTTCACGTGGAAAGCCTTTGAGATGGAAGCCGCTAAATTGGAAGCAGCGGCTCCTCACGTGGCAGTTGCTGCATCGGCGGAGCTCGCTGCAGGGGAGGCGAATGGCGGAGAAGTGCGCGCCGATGGCGGAGCTCTGTGCGCGAATATTGGCGTGCGCGGGAATGAAGAGAAGAGAGAAAGTGGAGAGAGCGGCGAAGGCAGAGCAGAGAAGAAAAGTGGAGAGGGAGGGAGCGACGAAAGGGATGGAGAAGGAGAAAAACGGGATGGTGGAGAAAAACGAGAAGGCGGAGAAAGGCAGGAAGGCGGAGGCGGAGGGGAAGAGAGAGAAGGATTAAGCAGCGGCAAGAGTTCGAAGAACGCTGCTAACGGGGACGCGAGCGCGCAGGACGACAAGCCGCTGTCGAAGAACGCACAGAAGAAACTGACGAAGCGGCAGGCGATGCAGGAGCGGAAAGAGCGCGAGCGCACGGAGGCGCAGCAGAAGCGTGCGGAGCAGCAGAAGCGCGCGGAGCAGGAGGCGGCGGCCAAGGAGGCGAGCATGACGGCGGAGGAGCGCGCGGAAGCCGCCGCGCGGCAGCGCGAGAAGGCGGAGGCGCGGCGGGTGGCGGAGGCGGAGAGGCGGAAGGCTTGGGCGGAAAAGGCGGAGAAGGGTCCAGGGCTGATCATTGACCTGGAGTTTGAAGAGCTTATGGGAGAGAGGGAGTTATCGAGCCTGCAGCAGCAGGTGAGGGAAGTAGAGGGCTCGAGGTTCGTGGTTTTAGCTCATGGCTCCATGGGGCAAGGGAAATTAAGGGGCAGGGGGAATCGACGGGCGAGGTGTCCGGGGCTGATCATTGATTTGGAGTTTGAAGAGCTGATGGGGGAGAGAGAGAGCTGTCCAGTCTGCAGCAGCAGGTGAGGGATGGCGGGTTTAGGGTTCAAAATATCGACTTCAGTGTTGGGGAGGTGATGAGGAGTGATGGAGGGCTGTGGAGCCCCTCGTGTGGTTCCACTCCCAGTCAGCGCCTAGTTGGTTCTCCTACGTCTTTTGAGGCGCCTCGTAAGCCACTTCCCCCCCCACCCCAGGTCGTGTACTCAACTGCTTCCCCCCGACTCTCCCCATCCCATTCTACCCCCTCTCCCCATCTCTCCTTCCCCTCAGGTCATGTTCTCCTACGCTCTGAACCACTGCGCACCCTCCCCCTGCCGCCTCACCCTCTCGGGCCTCCCCCCAGTCAGCCCGTTCCTGCACGCCTGCATCAGCACTCACTGCTCTCTTCCTTCCTATACCCCACTGTTCCCCCCCACTTCCCCCCCTCCCTCCCCCCTTCCCACCCTGTTCTCCTCTGCCCTGAACCAGCGCGCCCCCGCCCCCTGCCGCCTCACTCTCTCCGGCCTCGCCCCAGCCAGCCCCTTCCTGCACCGCCTGCTTCACCTCACAACGTGTACCTCACTGCTCCATTTCCCCCCCCCCCCCCCCCCCGCTCCCCATTCTTCTCCCCTACCCTCCAGGTCATGTTCTCATACGCTCTGAACAACTGCGCCTCCTCCCCCTGTCGCCTCACCCTCTCCGGCCAGCCAGCCCCTTCCTGCCCCGCCTGCATCTGCTCACAACGCTCCTTTTCTTCCCATACCCAACGTTTCCCCCCCCCCCCCCCCCCCCACTCCCTTCCCCATTCTTTCCCTCACTCCCCCTTCCCCATTCTTTGTCGCCACTCCCCCTTCCACTTTCTTCCCCCCTCTCGCCCCCTTCCCAGGTCATGTTCTCCTATGCCCTGAACAACCGCGCCTCCTCCCCCTGCCGCCTCACCCTCTCCGGCCTCCCCCCAGCCAGCCCCTTCCTGCACCGCCTGCAGCGAATCGCGGGCTTCGACAGCTGGCATGGCGTGACTGTGGAACCGCGTGCTTATATCGAAGCCTGGGCGGGCAGAGAGGGGGAGCTGGTGTACCTGACTGCTGATGCGGAGGAGGAGGTGGGGGAGGTGGAAGCGGGGAAGGTGTATGTGGTGGGGGGGATAGTGGATCATAATCGGTACAAGGGGCTGACTAAGGGGAAGGCAGAGAAGCAGGGGATTAAGACAGCAAGGTTGCCCATTGGGAAATACCTCAACTTGAAGACCTCCAAGGTGGGTTTGCAGGGTGGTGCAGTAGAGTTCGGTGCTGTGGGGTGCGATGGAGTGGAGTGCGGTATGGTTCAGTGCGGTTCAGTGAGATGTAGTGAGTGGTGGGGGGGATTGTGGTGGATCACAATCGGTACAAGGGGCTGACGAGGGGGAAGGCGGAGAAGCAGGGGATTAAGACGGCGCGATTGCCCATCGGGAAATACCTCATTTTAAAGACGTCCAAGGTGGGTGTGCAGTGCGGTGTAGTGCAATGCAATGCAGTGCAATGGAGTGGAGTGCGGTATGGCTTAATGCGGTGCAGTGTGGTGGGGGGGATAGTTGATCACATTTAGTACAAGGGGCTGACGAAGGAGAAGGCGGAGAAGCAGGGTATTACTCCCTTGCAGTACCTGCAGCACGGGGACTGGAAGAAGGGTAAGCTGTATGACAACCGACTGCGCTGTGCTGTTTACCCTCCTCACCCCTTCCCCACCCCCATCCTCTTTGTTTGCTGCTTGCAGGTGCTAGCAGTGAACCACGTGGTAGATATTATTTTGCAGTACCTACACCACAGGGACTGGGAGAAAGCAGTGGCGGCTGTTGTGCCTGATAGGAAGAAGACGGACAGACAGGAGGGTGACAATAACGAGAGTGATACTGGCGCTAGAGAAGCGAAGAGGGCTAAATGTGAGAGCAACGAATGATGCCGTACCTGATCGTTCAGGTTCTGTTGGGTTCCTCGATTGTTTGACAAATGTACCATGCGTGTGGAAATCAAGGGGAGATTCATTTGTGATGCACTGTGAAAAAAAAGGTGTCCAGCTAATGTTGCATCTGACTTAATTAATCGCAGATGCGTTTGAACAATACAGTACAATTGAGACAGCTTGCTTTCTGTTCTTGCAAAGGCAACGGGCTTCATTACAATTGCAGTAATACAACATTCTCGTCCAACTATGGATGGATTATACAGATATACAACTAGGGTGGGTGGGTGGGGAGTGGAACTGCAAAGTTCCGAAATGAAGTCGTGGGTGGAGGCCGAATGGCCTCCAACCCTCGTTATGTACTCGGCGAATTGTAATTCGCCATTGCTTTGCTTCGTGACAGTCAGCTGCGCTTTCAAAATACGCTTTTTTAGAAAGTGTTACACACTTTCGAAAAATTTCATATTGAGAAAGCTTGCTTTCTGTTCTTGCAAAGGCAACGGGCTTCATTACAATTGGGTCTTCTGAGACATGTGCAGTTGGGGTGTTGAAGACGTGGCGAGTGTAGTTGCGATTGATGGCCTTGACGAAGTGCCGAGAGAGGTGGCGTTGGTAATCGCGATCTCTATGTCGATGGCGTTCGAAATGTTGTGTGTGCGAAGATTGCGTTCTGTTAGTGTAGATGTGCGTGTTTGTTGATGCAGCAGAATAGTGGTTGCAATTGGTGGTTCCCAACCAAGGTCTACACACCCAATGGACGGTACAACTTTTATCTTGGGATTTACCATGTGCTCTGCTGTACTCTACGCTTCCAACCGTTTGAGGTTCGGGGCTATCTACAACGTGGATGTATGGGCTGAGTTGGTAGTAGCGGGAGGGTGTGTCCGTCATTTCGGTTAAATAGGTACTCTTTTTTTTTTTTTTTTTTTTTTTTTCACACACGAATTCCATCTTTAACTCCCAACACCTAAAGCCCATTCAAGTTCTTAACGAGACGCAACTTGTGGTAGCATGCTAGTCGCAACTCCCGTGCTTTTATTTCCATCTCGGGTGCGATCTAAGAGAGTGGGATGAGCATGATGGAAACCAATCCCTTTCTCATTGCCCTTATTTGGAGAGAACATTGAATGCGATGTAGGAGTGTGTGTGAACAACCGTAGTCAAGTCAGATTCAAAATCCATCTTGAGTTGCACTCTACCAACCATTTGTAACCAGGTCACTCCAAACAATTGCTTCCCTGGAAATTGATGGGGCACCAACCAACCTTTGTTTGTCACAAAATGTTTGAGCCCCTTTTTTTTTTTTTTTTTTTTTTGAACTCTTATCATATACGGTTACATCAATAGCCAAGGATGATCCATACTAGCACACACATTGTTCGAAATTCAGCCCATCTTACGGCAAGCCCAACATGGGGACCCTCGGTCCCCTTCCCCCCCTGGGGGGACGGCTCTCAGGCCACACGGGGACCCTCGGTCCCCTTCCCCCCCTGGGGGGCGGCTCTCAGGCCACACGGGGACCCTCGGTCCCCTTCCCCCCCTGGGGGACGGCTCTCAGGCCACACGGGGACCCTCGGTCCCCTTCCCCCCCTGGGGGACGGCTCTCAGGCCACACGGGGACCCTCGGTCCCCTTCCCCCCCTGGGGGACGGCTCTCAGGCCACACGGGGACCCTCGGTCCCCTTCCCCCCCCTGAGGGACGGCTCTCAGGCCACACGGGGACCCTCGGTCCCCTTCCCCCCCTGGGGACGGCTCTCAGGCCACACGGGGACCCTCGGTCCCCTTCCCCCCCTGGGGGACGGCTCTCAGGCCACACGGGGACCCTCGGTCCCCTGCCCCCCTTGGGGGACGGCTCTCAGGCCACACGGGGACCCTCGGTCCCCTTCCCCCTCTGGGGGACGGCTCTCAGGCCACACGGGGACCCTCGGTCCCCTTCCCCCCCTGGGGGACGGCTCTCAGGCCACACGGGGACCCTCGGTCCCCTCCCCCCCTGGGGGACGGCTCTCAGGCCACACGGGGACCCTCGGTCCCCTTCCCCCCCTGGGGGACGGCTCTCAGGCCACACGGGGACCCTCGGTCCCCTTCCCCCCCTGGGGGACGGCTCTCAGGCCACACGGGGACCCTCGGTCCCCTTCCCCCCCTGGGGGACGGCTCTCAGGCCACACGGGGACCCTCGGTCCCCTTCCCCCCCCTGGGGGACGGCTCTCAGGCCACACGGGGACCCTCGGTCCCCTTCCCCCCCTGGGGGACGGCTCTCAGGCCACACGGGGACCCTCGGTCCCCTTCCCCCCCTGGGGGACGGCTCTCAGGCCACACGGGGACCCTCGGTCCCCTTCCCCCCCTGGGGGACGGCTCTCAGGCCACACGGGGAGACCCTCTGTCCGCTCTTTTTATTGGGAGACGTCCTTGGGTGCGCGTGCAGTTTGATCCTGTAGCCCATGTAATTTCCCTGCGCGACTAGTAGAGCCTTTTATAAAAGTCTTTCCACCACTGTAGTGTTGGGCCTGATTTTCTGCCACCAAGGGATAAGAGGAGCTTATAGATTAATAGAAAATAAACGAAGAGGACATAACGAAAATAAAACTGAAAGAAAATGACTTACATCACTTAGGCAACAAATGACGCCCAGTCAAACGACTAAGGCGCTGCAGTGGCAATTTCGTCACTGCCGCGCCAGCGGCCATTTCGTCCATGGCGCGCTAGTGGCGATTTCGCCACTGGCGCACGTGGCAATTTCGCCACATGCGCGCGTGTGGCGATTTCGTCCCTGGCGCGCGCCACTTGCGCCAGTGGCGATTTCGTCCCAATCGCCTGCCACTGGCGCCAGTGGCGATTTCGTCCCTAGCGCGAGCCACTGGCGCCAGTGGCAATTTCGTCACTAGTGCGTGCCACTGGCGATTTCGTCTTTGGCGCGCCTGTTGGCGTTTCGTCCGGCGCACTTCGCTCTCAGTTGAGCGCCCGCTAAGTACAGTCGCACGCGTGATATTGTTGCCCTTCATGAAAATCGATCGCTTGTAGGTGAGTCGTAGTAAGTAGTTCTAGTGACAGAGGAAACTTTCGAGGTGGTTGGACGAGAATGAGTGGAACTGCAAAGTTCCGAAATGAAGTCGTGGGTGGAGGCCGAATGGCCTCCAACCCTCGTTATGTACTCGGCGAATTGTAATTCGCCATTGCTTTGCTTCGTGACCAGGGCCTCAGATTCGTTTGAGGGTACCCTGTGGACTCAGGGCAGTTTTTAAGAAACCCTATTTTGTCCTGAAATGTCAGGACTGTGCAAGGATGGGTTTGCTGTAGGGTCAGTGCTACAAATGACATTATCCTGACCCGTCAGTGCTACATTTCATTTTATCCTGTGCACGACGGTAAAGGCTGTATTTGTTCTAATTAAGAGCCACTTTGGAAACTTTTTTAATAGACATGCATTTCAACATTCATCGTCCTCCTCCTTCTCCACAAAATCTTGAAAAGCATCATTATCATTGTCCCCCCCACTGTCTGCATCCCCCCCATCCTCTGCGTGGTGGTCACGCTTCTCTGCAAGTGACCCCCGGAACCCTGTGGCACTCCTCTTCGATACATTCACCGTGGCTGCCTTGCGCTTGGTGGGTCGCCTCTTTTTGGTGATGCGCCACAGTGCCACAACTTCACTCCACTCCATGTCGTACTCTAGTAGACTCAGCGTCATGAGGTCGCCCAGCTTCGCATCGCACAAGCTGGTCCGCTGCCAGCTCTTGATGACATTCTGGCGCGAGAATCCGCGCTCGCACTCCACCGTGCTGAGCGGCAACACTGCCACAGCCGCCCACAGCCGCACCAGGTTCGGATAGGTCCGCTGCCAGTCCGCAGTTGACAGGATCGCCCGTAACCCCGCATGGAAGGGTTGCTCCTCCTTTGGCGCCCCGGACAGCACAGACAAAAACGTGCGCATCTCCTTCCGCACTTCGCGCTTGTTCACACCTGTATGATGGGATGATAAGGGAACATACAAGTGCAGCATCAACAATCGCGCTTCTAAGGGGTACAAGATACACAGCGATGTTTGTGGGCGAACAAAACAGTTATCTCACCAGGCAGTATATCATCTCTGACGCGAGCATGGAACATCACCGCCAGCTTCTCCATGTGTTCTTTGCACTCCGCGTCTCTCGCCTCTTTCCCACGCGGCCAGGTTCTTGGCATGAAGAGCTTTGCGGCGTTGAGATTTGTCAGGTCGCCAAGCCGAAAGTCGAGGTTGTAAAGCAGCTCAGTCGCAAACGAGCGACACGTTCGAATGCAGGACTGGATGTCACCAGCGCTCGCCAAGTACCCGGGAATCGCCTCCTCGTGCAGGGTGAACTCATGCTCCCTTGCCTCCCCGTCGGCGTCCACTCCCTGCACAGTCACTTCCCTGCTGCATGGTGCACTGTGGCGAGCAAGGAACGGCGACAGTAGAGTGCTCGCCCCTGCACCGAACTGTTGCCCACAGTCGATGTAGCGCTCTCTGATGAAGACTTCTGTACGCCTCAGCTGGGAGTGGACCCCCGTCAAGTCAACCTGTGGTCGGGTTTTGGATCAGGGAGGGCACAGTAGTGAAACACATCCGTGAGCATCAAACACCTATCAAGTGAATAGTGCTACAAAGCAGACAACGGTACCTCGCGCCTCTGGAAGAGCATGTTGAGCGAGTTCAGCTCTACGTGTACATCCGCCAGGAAGTACACAAAGAAGTGGAACTTCAGGCTGGTGACCATGTGGTAAAAGGTTGAGTCCAGCTGCTCCAGAAGGACAATCACCGCCGGCAGCACCTTCACGAACCGGGCTATCGCGTCACCGCGGCTTAGCCACCGTACGGCGTGGATCCCTTGCATTTCCAGGTTCGTCCGGGTGAAGACGGCCTGGAGCTCCTTGAATGCAGCGTTCGAGGTGCTGCTGCGGCCGAGATGCTCCGCCAAAGCACGGATGAGAGCGTCAACCATGGCGAGCTCTGGGAGCGCTTCTGCAGAATCTTTCGCGGCAAGTGCCTCTTTGTAAAGAAAAAGCCACGGACACGGCGTCAAGCAGTCAGTTGGTAAAACAGCGGCAGATGTTGGATCTGGGATGCAGAGGCACCCACCTGTGGGCGATGCAGTGGCACGAGACCACATGAGGGATGCAGAGTCGAAGTCGCCCGGTCAGTCCGTTGGTTCCGCCGAGCATGACTGGAGCGCCATCGGTGCTAATCCCGGCGATCTTAGCAAGGGGGAGGTTGATGCTGTCGAGGTAACCGACGAGCACTGCATACAGGGATCCTGCATCGCATTTGTCAACTGTCAATAGTGTGAGAAACTCACTGGTAACCTCGTTTTCACGCAAAAAAGTGATGAAGACGATCATATGCTTCCCCCGCACGCGGTCAGTACTCTCATCACAGCTCAAGCCAATGAATGGGCTCGAGTCTATGAACTCCCGCTGCTTCGCACGAAGATAGCTTGCTGTCGCGGACACTAGTTCCGCGAAACCGTACCTGCGAACACACGGTTAGGGAACATAGTGTTAGTATATAGTAGATCATGTGTTACGTGAAAGATATGAACAGCATATTACTTACGTTGTGTAATACGCGCCGTAGCCATTCTTCGGGAAGCCCGGAGTCCCACGGGAAGCAAGGTGCCGGACGAGTTGCACCCACATCTCTATGGGTGCGTCGGTCTTGGTGATGAACAGCATGGTGTCCAGCAGCGACTCCACAGCGTCGTGCTCCACGTCACGGGCTGTCGGGCAGTCTGGGATGCGATGCTATCCGGCAGCTTTGGCCAAAGCCAGCTCCTGATTGCGGATGGCTTCTCTGTGCTTCGTGGTCCTTTGATGACGTTGCATGGCCTGAGTCTGCACATCCAGGGCCCCCTCGCCTTTCCCGAAGTTGGTTCCTGTTCCTCCATAATCCATACACACTGTACATTTCATGGAGGGGAAACCAAATTTAGTTCGACAAATAATAAGCCAAGGGAAGTCCTCGTTCCACCGTCGTTTAAACATGAGCAAAGCTTCTTGATACTTCTCCTCGGCGACGTCGGGAATCTCGGTGTCAGAAGAAGCAGTGGCGGCGGTTTCAACAAGGACAGTAGGTTCGGTGGTCGGTTCATGATGTTGCCTGGTGACGGAAATGACAGCGGTGGTGTCAGATGTACGGACAAACGAGAGCTTTGTCTGTTGATACCGTTGCGCGGAGAGTTTTTGGCTCGGTGGTCCTTTGCGGGTCGTCCCAGCCGCCTTGGAGCACTCCCCTTGCGTGCGAATCGGCGGTGGCACGGGGACGTTGTCAACCACGACCGGTGCAGCTGTCACGGGAGAAGGCACGGGTGGCTGGGACGGCGACGGGAGGAAAACAGCTGCGGCAGCGGCAGCGGAATCAGCTAGTGTTGGTTTCGGCGGTGGTGGAGGCTGAACAGGCCTACTACGCAATAAATCCAGGCCCGTCAACCCTACGGTCGGGCAGGGCGGGCTAGGTATGGCGGGGGCTTCACCATCGCCCGCCGGCGATGGGTCAGCCATGGACGGTAATTTGCGGCAAAAATAACGCAGACATACGGCGTCGAGCAGCTAGGCAAGTTACGGGGAAAAACAAAGATTGTTGGCGTTCTGGCTGGGGTTTGGTTGAGAGACGAGAACAGGCTGGAGGGGATGGAGGAAGAGACAGAACAGAACATCACAATCTTCCCAACCCCAGACACATGGCGCGTCGACCACAGGAGTCGCGGCGTATGCGCTGGCACAAGCATCTTGCAAAGTTGGATAAGGGACAAGTTTCATGGCTAGGTGGGAAGCACGTGCCACCAGCATCTTGCATTGTTGGCCGTGTTTTTCAAGCGTGTTAAGTCAGCGGCGCACTGTGATTGGAAGATGTTACAGCATTATTGTGGTTCCAGGCTGGGCGCGGTGTGGTGTTGCGCCACCCAGGCAAAAATAAACAGTGCGACAGTCACGGAGCGTAATTTACGCTGTACCAGGTCGGTGGTTGGGTACACTAGGCCCGGGGAAAATGCAGTATTCGTGTCAGGACGAGTCTCGACACTATCCTGACTCATCAGGGCTGTACCTACAGCGCTATCCTGAGGGCCCAGTATGAAAAATTACCATTATACTGATACTACAGGACAGACATTTGCATTATGCTGTTTTTACAGGAGAGGCACTAAACACCTATCCTGAATTCAGGAGAATCAGGATAAATTATACTGATAACGTAGGCCCTGTTCGTGACAGTCAGCTGCGCTTTCAAAATACGCATTTTTAGAAAGTGTTACACACTTTCGAAAATTTTCATTTATCTGCGCTCGGCAATATCACGGTGATGCGTCAGTTGGATTCCACTCCCTCCAGCCTGTCATTTCCCTCGGGACTGTCCCAGAAAACCCAGCTATTTCCGGTCTCGTCGTCTCAGCGACGGGCAACTTTTGGCAGTGTTGGGTTCAGAAGTTTTTTTTTTGAACCAGGCTTGCCAGCGCGAAAGTGCTGGCTGGCGAAAACCAGGATTTCGTGCGGACACTTTCCATCCGCAGTAACAGTTCGCCAGGGTTCTGGGTTTTGGGTGGCAAATGTGCACCGTCGCTTTTGGATGCGTTGGTTCTGGGATTAGCAACGTGCCTATCATGGCGGAGTCGTTAACGCGTTTCTATCCGTCGAATGCGGTGTTTGAGCCTTCGCGATCGTCCAGCGAGCTTTGCGAAAAAGAAACGGCGAGTTTCACGAAAGGCGGTTACCAAATAACGAGTCGACGAAGCGATGGCAATCTTCTCGATAGGTCCAGCACCGCACGATCAACCCGAGTGGGAGCACTTCCGTCTCGTCCTCGATATAATCCATCTCGTCTACATAGTCTAGAAACAGTACGAGAGTGCCATCCGTTTTGTTTCTCTCGGAGCTCTGCGCGCTTCGAAGGGACAGCCGACACGGGAGTTGATCAACGGTTATCCTTCGCGCAGGCTGGCAGTGCGAACAGCGCGAATTCGCGATCGCGAAGATCGCGAACTTCGCGAGGATATTTTCAGCGATGCCAGGCTGGCACGGATGACTCGGCGCGCTTAACGAGCTTCGAGCGCGAGCAGGAGGGCAATGATGCGGAGGAAAGGCGGCGGACGGCAGCTGGGCGGCAGGCCGGTGGGCGGCCGGGCGTGTCGTTTTCTGCAGCTGGCCGGCACGGCGACAACAGTTTCAACGGCGTGTTCCTGCTGCTTCTGCTGAACCTTCTGGCGTTCCTAGCGGATCACTTTCTACGGGTACGACTTTGCAACAGATAAGACTTTTGAGCCGCCTCGAAACTCGCTATAAGTACCGCCGTATTCTGCGGCTTCTTATTCGACGACGCCTCTCTGTTAACCGCCGTTCGGTCTGACATATGTATAGCATTCTTAGCGGATCACTTGCTACGGGCACAGGCGAACAGTCTGACCGTTACCCTCCATTAAAGGCTACTAGTTTAACTCGTTTCTTGTTTTCACCCATGGACAACACATATGCAGCTCCTTTCATGCTCCGTAGCAGACAAACAGCACGTGACTTCTCCATACCTCTTGCATCTATCCGTTTGCGTCTCTCTCTTCTCTCCTTCCCTCTCTCCTTCCGTCTCTCCGTTTTCCACTGTTCCCACCAGCTGCCAGTGTGGTCGTCGCTATACCTGCACCATGCACCCCTGTGGTGGTGCCTGTTACTTGTACCATTCCTTTACTTTTTGTGCCTTCCCTCTCTCCCCTCTCCCCTCTCCGCTGCTCCCACCAGCTCCCAATGTGGTCGTCCCTCTATCTGCACCACGCCTCCCCTTGATGGTACCATATCGTCACTATTGCCGCCTGCCATTGTGTTCTGTGCTTCCCCCCCCCGCCCTCCCTTCCTCCTCCCAACCAGCTCCCAGTGTGGTCGTCCCTCTACCTACACCACGCCTCCCCGCGCTGGTACCAGTTCGTCACATCCACCTTCTGCCACGCTGGCTGGTGAGTTGTTCAGTTCTTGAGTTCATTGATCCATCATCCATGATCTTCGTTCTCACATGGAGCTCCGCTGCCTTTTATGTACCATCTCTTCCATGCTTACATGTATGCCACACAGCATGCTCATTTGCCATGTACGATTTCATTTCACAATCTTGTATACCATCCACCAAGCCCACTTTCCCAATTCCCCCCTTCCCTCTTCCCCAGGAGTCATCTCTCCAGCAACCTCTTCTTCCTCTACATATTCGGTACTCTCTCTCTTCCTCCCTTCTCCCTTTTTTTTGCGCGCTTTCCTTTGCACCATGTGTGCTTACCTCCCTAAATCTCATTGTTCCACCGTACACTCACTCACTGCACATCCATGCACACCCTGTCATGCATACTCAAACACCCTTTCAGGTCGGCTAGTGGAGGAGGAGGAGGGAACGCTAGGCCTATGGGTAACATACCTCGTGACAGGAGCGGGTTCCAACCTCGTCTCGTGGCTGCTCCTCCCATCGTATACCGTCTCTGTCGGTGCCTCTGGTGCTGTCTTCGGCCTCTTCGTCGTTAGTGTGCTCACCCGGGTAAGTACTATTTTTTCACTCGGATAAATGTGTCTTACAATGGGGTCCAGTGCGGTGCTGGGCCGTTTATAGGGTGTGCTGGTTGGTACAGGGGGTACCTTGTAACAGAAGCAAGTTTCTTCCAACCTCTTCTTTGGCCTCTTCGTTGTCAGCATGGTCACCCGGGTAAATTCTGATTCTATCATTGGTGGTTACAGGCGCCCTCAAAAGTTTATGACTTGCGTCTGGGCTTCTTCCATTAACTGTTGTTCTCTCTTCTCCCTGTACTTTCTGCCTTGCGTGCTCCAGCTGCAGTGGAACTGGAGGAGGATCGTGGAGGTTGTCATTCTGGGGCAGTTCGTTGTAGAGAAGGTGAGAGGTGGAGGGGAAAGGAGAGGGGTGAGAGGGGGAGGCAAGAGAGAGTACTGTTTGCGAAATAGGGAAGAGTATCTTTAGTATCTTCAAGAGAGAGTACTGTTTGCGAAATAGGGAAGAGTATCTTTAGTATCTTCAAGAGAGAGTACTGTTTGCGAAATAGGGAAGAGTATCTTTAGTATCTTCAAGAGAGAGTACTGTTCGCGAAATAGGGAAGAGTATTTTTAGTATCTTCAAGAGAGAGTACTGTTTGCGAAATAGGGAAGAGTATCTTTAGTATCTTCAAGAGAGAGTACTGTTTGCGAAATAGGGAAGAGTATTTTTAGTATCTTCAAGAGAGAGTACTGTTCGCGAAATAGGGAAGAGTATTTTTAGTATCTTCAAGAGAGAGTACTGTTCTGGGGCAGTTCGTGGTGGAAAGGGTGAGAGACAAAGCTTGGTGGGAGTTAGTGAGGGGGGGTGAGGAGAGGGGGTTGCGTTTCCAATTCTTCACATAGACTCACAATGCTGTCACCCTTCTGACCCTTTCTCCCTCTGTCCCCTTCTCCTCCAACCCTCCCTCTCTTCCTTCCCTTCCAACCGTCCGTCTCTTTTACCCAAGGTGCTGTCAGAACCACGTAACTCGGCAATCATGGGAGGAATGGGCATCGCAGGGTCAGGAGTGAACCCCATCACGCACCTGGCAGGGGCGCTGGTGGGAGTGCTGCTCATCTGCTACTCTTTCATCCTCCCCCTCCTGTCCCTCCCTACCCCCCAATTCTCCGTCTCTCCCCCCACAGGCCCTGTCAGCCGCGCGTAACTCGGCAATCATGGGGGTGAGCATGGCAGCAGGGTCGGGAGTGAACCACATCGCACACCTGGCAGGGGCGCTGGTGGGAGTGCTGCTTATCTGGCTCCTCCTCCTGTCCCTCTCTCATCCTCCCCCTCCTCTGCCTCCAACCCTCCGTCGCTCCCACCCACAGGTCCTATCAGAAGCACGTAACTCGGCAATCATGGGGGTGGGCATGGCGGCTGGGTCGGGAGTGAACCACATCGCCCACCTGGCAGGGGCGCTGGTAGGGGTGCTGCTCATCTGGATGGTATCCCGCCTGCCTGATGCTAGCAGTAGGGATGGCGGGGAGGGGAGTGGCAAAAACCCTCGTATGACATAGCTTGCTGCCCTCTTCTGCTGGTGGGAGTGCTGCTCATCTGGATGGTGTCCCGCCTACCCGAAAGCAGCAGCAGGGATGGGGGGGAGGGAGGCAGCAGGGACAGTAACAGCAGTCCTCGACTCACATAGCATGCTGCTCATTTGCTGCTCCCCTGCTGCTGAGAGTGCTGCTCATCTGGATGGTCTCTCGCCTGCCCGAAAGCAGCAGCAGCAGCAGGGATGGCGGGGAGGGGAGTGGCAGGAACCCTCGTGTGACATAGCATGTTGCTCACCTGCTGCACCTCTGCTCTGTTGCTGCTCTTGCTGGGAGTGCTACTCATCTGGCTAGTGTAACGCCTCCCGATGAAAGCAGCAGGGATGGCAGGGAGGGGAGTGGCAGGGACAGCAGCAACAGCACAGATGGCGGGAAGGCAGCAGCAGAGTGCAACTCACAGAGCATGCTGCTCGCCTGCTGTCCCCCAATCACTCTTTGCTGCTCCTCTGCTGCTCCTCTGCTGCTCCTCTGCTGCTCCTCTGCTGCTCCTCTGCTGCTCCTCTGCTGCACGTATTGTTCCTGTCTTGCGTGCTTGCGAGGTAGGAGGGATGGCAAGCAGGGGAGTGGCAGTGGTGGCAGGTGCTATTGTGTTTTGCCACATGGTGTGTGCGTATTTTTTCCTTCCTTTCTTGTCTTTATTGATTCCAGTGTTGTTTGACATAGCGAAGTGCTCTCCTGCTTTTCAAATGGCTCCTTCCTATCCTCTCACATTGAAGTGCATGCCTCTGGCACTTTAAGGGGAGCTCTGATTGTGACAGTGTAACATTCTGACAATATCGTGCTGAGATAGACAGTCTTTAGAGCCTTTGGTCAACATTTACGTCCAGGCAGAACTGTTGGCCTGAGAAAAGCCCTTAGGATTATTTTCAAGACTAAGGCTCAGGATAATTAGCGGAAGCGTCTTAGTGAACTGGTTGATTGAACCACCTTGCACTAGTGTGTGAGAACAAGTTGATAATAAGGTAGCAAAGAGATACAGGGCTTTATATGATTACAAGGAATATGAAAGGTTTAACTAACTGTATCTGCTGTTGCGGTTCGATACAGCGACGACTCGGGTAATTGCTCAATAGTGAGTCAATTATGTGTCCTTATTGTCGCGCCTCTTTCGGCGAGTCAAAGGTCGCTGACCTTTGACCTTCACTTAACCTCTTGCTGTTGCTTTTTGTCAACCGCTTTGGTTGACTCGCTGTTACTCCGCTGTAGTTCGCTTCGTTTACATAGTACTGCTCGACACATCAGAAGCGCGAACTATATGTTTCCAACGCTCCCCTTCGCTTCTGGAGTGTCATCGCCTTTGTTGCTGGTGACGTGGCCTTGTCCTGTCCGCAGCATGCAGTACCCGGACTTCTGCTTTCCGAGTTTCTTGGTCAAGTAGTATGCTGCAGGGCCTCAGAAGTCAGCGAAAAAAGGCTGATTAGGGGTAAAAAGGTTAGGTTTTCAGTGCTGGGGATTTAGTGGGGCTGATTTGTCAGCCTTTTTTTTAGTGCACAGGCTGATTTTTCAGCTTATTTTTCTTTGTATGGGCTGATATTTGAGCGTTTTTTCAAGGGTGTACACTGACTGATCAGCGTTGTAACGGGGGTGTGGGCTGAAATCCCAGTAGTGCAGATTCGTGTAGGTGCCGAGGTTTTCGGATGTGTAGGTTCGCCCGTTCCACCGTCACACTGTCATTCACGCCGAATTTGCGCCAATTTTGCCAGATTCCCCGCCAAGCCAACGCACTGGGAAATGGCATCTTTCCGGCTTGTCGCACGCATTGTTGTCGCACGCTAAATCTATACAGCGTGTGTTGGCCCGTAGGAAAAGTTCAGCCTTTTTTCTGTAGTGAGGCTGATTGATCAGCTTTTTTATTTAAGGACACACTGAACTTCCAGTTTTTTTTTTCAAGGCAACACTGATTGATCAGCCTTCAACACACTCCAAAGGCTGACAATTCAGCCTAAGCCAAAACGAATCTGAGGCCCTGGTATGCTGCCATCTCGGATGTGGGGCAGTAGGATAGCTCGAGTCTTCCTTTCTCGATCTCGTCCTTCATGAAGAAATAGCGCAGGGCGATGTGCTCCGTTGGGTTCGCGAACCTGTTTTTGTTCGCTATGCGAATTGCCGATTGGTTGTCGGAGAAGAGAGAGAAGCTGGGTAACTGGGCCAGCTTTGCTTCTTCCAGCAGTTCGCGAAGTTACAATCCTTCCTTGGTGGCTGAGCAGAGTGCAATATATTCTGCTTCAGCTGAGGAGAGAGCAATTAGTTCTTGCTTGCTCGACTGCCACGAGATAGGACCGACGGGCTCAAGTCGATAGATGTAGCCGGTGCGCGATCGCCTGTTTTCAGAGTCGTCTGCGTGGTCAGTGTCCACGTAGCCGATTAGCTTTGGAGTTGTGGTTCCAGTCTTGTGGTAGGTTAGGCCGATCGTTGGTGTGCTGACGAGGTAGTGTAACGCACGATCGAGTTCCGCCATGTGCTCTGCTTCGGGCCGCTTGAGGTAGGTAGCAAGTTGACTCGCTGAGTACGATAAGTCTGGTTGACAGGTGATGGCTGCGAAGAGCAAGCATCCTAGTTATCGCTGGTAGTCGCGTAGTCCGGCAGGTCCGAGCGGGTTAGAATTTTCTTGGTAATTTCCGGCGGTGTAGCGATAGGGCGTGGAGATGGCGGCTGGCGTTAATCCAAAGCGTTTGGCGATTGTGTCGGCGTATTTTTCGGCGCGTAGGTAGATCGCGTTCTCTCCGTCGAGTATGTTGAGTCCCAGGTACTGGGTTACGGTGGAGGAAACCGTGAGTGAGAGATCCTGTTGCAGCTCCCCTTCAAACCAGGTGGTGATGCTGTCAGTGGAGCCTATGTAAAGTAGGTCGTCTACATACACGATCAGCAGGATGTACTCGGCTTCCTTCGTGAGTCTGTACATTCCCTGGTCGTGTGGTAGTTGCTGAGAACCGATGCGGATTAATCGGGCGTGCAGGTGCTGCTACCACAGTCGTGGAGCTTGCTTGATGCCTTACAGAGACTTCAGTAGCTGCCAGGCTTGATTAGGGTATGTGACTGAATCGTGCGGCTGTTTGACGAAAATTTATGCATCGACGGGAGCGTAGAGGAACGCGTTGGCCACGTTGATTTGGCGGAGTTTCTTCCGCTTCATGGCGGCTATCGCGAGGAGGATTCGTAGAGAGGTATGTCGGCTGACCGGCACGAAAGTCTCGGTGAAGTCTCGTCTGTGCTCTTGGTCGAAGCCATGCACGACCCAACGTGTCTTGATTTTTTCAATTGTTCCGTCAGCTTTCGTCTTCACGTGGAAGACCCATTTTCCCGTGAGTATGGTTTTGTTGCGTGCCACTCTGATGGGTACTATCTTCCAGGTGTTTCTGTCTTCCAGCGCCTTTAACTCCCTGTCCATGGCTTCGCGCCATTTCTCCTTGTGCTCCCCCCCCAGAGCCTGCTGAACTATAGTAGGCTCTCGCGGCGGCGGTGCTCCATGGACTGCGGTGACGAGGCCGAGAATCTGCAGCCCACTCTGTGTGCGTCGGGGAAGACTTGGATCCTCGGGATAGACTGCTTCGTCTCCCGCTTCTGGATCAGGTAAGAAATTGGGGCCTATGCATTCTGAAACGTTAGTGTTGACCGGCTGCGGCGTAACGTAACCATTGTCGGCGAAGTCGTAGTAGACTTCGGCGTTGATGCTTTCGCGAGGGTTGTCGTCGTCCATCGGAACGGGTACTGAACAGTAGGGAAGAGGTCTGGCTTCCTCCGATGCTCCCCCTCTCTTTCTGGACCACCTTGCCTTGACTGTGCACAGAGCAAGCTTCGGGAACAGCCCCATCCTCCCACTGAGTCCACCTCTACCACACCTCTTGATCGTGTACACATGGACCTTTGGGGTCCAGCTCCTGTTCGTTCCCGTGGCGGACACTTCTACTTCCTTGTCATCGTTGATGACTATTCCCGCTATGTGTCCGTTCACCTTCTCACCGCCAAGTCTGAAGCCCCAGCCATTATCATGGAATGGGCAAGGCAGGCTCATTCACACTTCAAAACCAAAATCAAGATTCTTCACTCTGACGGTGGCGGTGAATTCCGCAACAACACTCTCAAAGCTTTCTGGTTTATTGAGGGTATTCGTCAGACCTTCACCCTCCCAGACAGCCCTCAACAGAACGGTGTTGCTGAGAGCCGAAACCGCATCCTGGTGCAGATTGCTCGCTGCCTCCTCACTCATGCTTCCGCCCCTCCCTCTCTTTGGGGATACGCCATGCTCCATGCTGCCGCCCTCCACAATCTCCATCCTCATCCTCACCACACCCACACCACCCCCGCAGAGCTGTGGACGGGTCAAAAGCCGTCCGTCCGCCCTCTTCGTGTATGGGGGTGCACTTCCTATGTTCTCCTCAACTCCCAAGCCCGTCGTGCAGCTGGCGGCAAGCTTGCTCCGAAAACAATCCCGTGCGTGTACCTCGGGCACAACTCGGACTCGCCAGACTACCTCTTCCTCCATCCTACCACCAACAAACTTTATCGCAGCCGAGATGTTTTCTTCGATGAATCCCACCCGTTCTACCCCTCCTCCACAGTTTCTCCTTCTCCTCCGCCTCCTTCTCTTACTTGGGCTGACTTTGACAGCCTTCCTCCTGCCACCACTCCATCTCCTCCTCTTCCTGCTCCCTCCACAGTTTCCGACCCCCCGTCATCCGCTTCCCCTTCCAGCACCACGCAGTCTCCCCCGCTCCTTCCCGCCACCGAGCCCATTCCTCTCAAAACCTACCAACGCCGTCCTCCTGCTGCTGCTCCTCCTCCTGATCTAGCTCCTCCTCCTGATCCAGCTCCAGCTCCTGCTCCTGATCCAGCTGCTGTTCCTGATGCTGCCACTACACCTGCTGCTTCTCCCCCTCCAGCTCCGCCTCCCTCCCCCATCGCTGGTCGCACCCGCTCGCGCAAAGCTCCCAAGCCTCTTTCCCTTTCCATTCATGTCTCTCTCAATCCTCCTCCTGTCGGGGGTGATTATTCGCTCATGCCCTCCCTTCTTGAGGACAGACATGAGGAGTTGATTGAGATTGACTCAGCCATACACGCACTCTGCTCCCTCTTTCCAGATATCGCAGAATCTCCCACCCTCGACTTCTCGGACAACCCCTCCATCCCCACACCTCTCACCTATGCTGAAGCAGTTTCTGGTCCTCATGCCGCTCAATGGCTAGGGGCCATTGTCGCAGAGTGTGAGGCCTTCATTCACACAGGAACTTTCACAGATGTCTCTCCTCCCTCCGGCGTCAACATTGTGAAGGGAAAATGGGTTTTCCGGGTGAAACAACTTCCAGGCGAATTTCCCGTCTTCAAAGCCCGGTACTGTGCCAAGGGATTTACCCAAAAGCATGGATTGGACTTCTTTGAGACATTCTCTCCCACCGCCAAACCTCCCACACTGCGCACCCTTCTCGATGTTGCCACTCGAGATGACATGGAGGTTGACTGCATGGATGTGTCCTCTGCGTTTCTGCAAGGGATCCTTCGAGAGGAAATCTACATGGAGCGGCCCGAAGGATTTCCAGCTCCTTTTCCACCAGGCACTGTATGGAAGCTGAATCGACCAGTCTATGGCCTCAAGCAAGCACCCCG